ACAGAAGGTCTAGCATCTCTAGTCCCCACCCACTGAATGTTAGGCGCATGCTCTTAATCAAACTCTCCCAAGAACGGTCATTGACAACCACTCCTCCCTGTATATAGTCGACCTTGTACTCTCTGTCCACTTTTCTCCACATCTGCGGAACTCTGAATCATGGGTATAAGTACCTATAAACAGTCACCCATAGCAACATGCAAACATGTTGCACCAATAGCAACCACCACAAATTCAGATGTATAGTTTAGGACCCCATGGGTTGCCTAACACATGATGGTCATACAGGGTGGGAAATTTCTCAGAGAATTTCAAACTTCAGCATGCTTGGAACGTTGGCTCTCACCACAATACCCACAAAAGTAACTTGTATGTGCCCTGCCCGGCCCTATCCCAGACATCACTCACTGGGGACTTGCAGGTGGGTGTTTCCCAGGGTTCCTGGCCGTCTCCCCCTCTCTGTCTCCCACTGATCCTGAACACAGCTCATGGCTGAGAACTTCTGACTGAGAGATTTATACAAGAGATTGCATTCCTCAAAGTATGTGATTATTGAGGGGAAAAAAAGGAAAACCATGAACAAACCCCCAATGCACCCTACTTGCTTATATGTGCATAGAATATCTCTGGAAAAAATATTAGGAAACCAATGGTGTGGGCTGTTTCCCAGGAAAGGTCCAGCACGTCTGGGGCACTGGGGTGAAAGGAGAATGTCTTTGATGCTCTCCTCTTTTTTACCTTTTGAATTGTGTATGGATGGCTTGAAAATAAAAAGAAATAAAATTTGATTTTTAAAAGTGGTAGTCCTTGGGAAAAAGTTATTAACTTGCTTACTGCAAGTTGAGAAAGTGAGAGACCACAGCAAGAGGAGGTCATCACAAGATAGAAAGGTGGGGCTGTTGTGGAGCCCAGGGAAAGAGGGTTGGACAAGAGACTACATCCATGTTTCTTAGCACTTTCCAAGAGAATAAAATTCATGTTCTAGCACTCTCCTCCTTTGGAACTGTATGTAGACAGCAGAAAAGTGACCACAAAGCTTTATTGCATGATAAACAATCCCTTAAAAAACATCAACTTTCCATGGTCTTCAAGCAACCCATTTGTACGGTGTCTCCGCAATTGACTCCTTCAGTCCCCGTGTGCAGCCTCCGCGTGTCCCCGGCCCCCTGCCCTCCCTCAGCTGTGCCGCACAGAAAACCACCCCAGCGCTTGGGTCAAACAGATCCCATAAGAAACCTCATAAGAAGCATCCTGGCTTGTAAGCTGTTTTTCGGTGAGTGCAATGGGCATGCGGTGCCCCTCCAGGCCATGCCTGACCACCTGTATTAGAATTGGCAGAAGTACATTTCTTTTCATTTTTTTTTTTTTTTGAAACGGAGTTTTGTACTTGTTGCCCAGCCTGGAGTACAGTGGTGCAATCTCAGCTCACTGCAACCTCCGCCTCCCAGGTTCAAGCGATTCTCCTGCCTCAGCCTCCGGAGTAGCTGGGATTACAGGCATGTGCCACCACATCTGGCTAATTTTGTATTTTCAGTAGAGACGGGATTTCTCCATGTTGGTCAGGCTGGTCTTGAATTCTTGACCCCAGGTGAATCCCCAAGTTCTGGGATTACAGGTGTGAGCCACTGTGCCTGGCCCAGAAGTATATTTCTAAACTCACACTCTTAGGACAGTAGAGGTGGGGCCTAAGACCTTTGCTCTACTGGGATCAGTGAGCCCAGCATAGCCCCTTTTCCTTATTCCAGGTCTGGAAGCTGCAGTCACAGACATACGAAGGTGCTGAGGCTTGCACGTGCACCAGCGTCACTTTCTCCAGCCACACCGCTACGTCTAAGGTGCTCCTGTCCTTCTCTAATAGAACTAGCCCAGGACTAGATGCCAGGCTTCGGGCTAAGTACATGACATGTCTTCACTTATTTAATCCTTTCAATAGCCCTTCAAGTTAGGTACCATTATTATCCTCATCAACCCCATTTTATAGAGAAGGAAACTGAGGTGCAGAGAAATTCACGTTGAACTTCATAGCAAATAAGCCGTGGAGGCCGAGTGTGATCCCAGGTGGCCCCAAATCAAAGCCACACTGTTACTTTGCTCTGCGTGGCCTCCAGGGCAGCAGCCCCTGTGAGCCTCCCTACATCGGGGTGTCTAATGAAAAGCTTGCTTGCTGGTTGAGCTGAAGGGCTCAGGGTGGGGGGTGTACAGAGAACTCTGGCTGCAAGGGCTTCTGGGCAGAACTGGGGTCACAAAGTAATCACAATTTCCCAGTGAACACAGGACTTTGGCCCTCAGGCAAGTTTCCTTGACGTCCGGGGGAGCCCGTGCTCCCCTGCAGTGCCCACAGATCCAGCCCTGATTGCTGGCAAGTCCCTGGACGGTGGTGCCTGTCTAAGCTTCTGCGGTCAGTGCCATGCAGCTACCTGCAGCCTGGCCCTGTGGCCCCAGGCTCCTGGCTAGAGGCCAAGGGGAGTGTCCCTTCCCACTCTGTTATCCAGGACATAGGTCACCCAGGCAGCCTGGCATGATGCCTCCAAGCCACTTGTACCTAGGCTTCTACAGCTTCTGCTCCCTCTCCTCCTCCATAGCCCTGGCGCTGCTCGGGGAACCAGGTCAGAGCAGCACCCCGGCTCCCCCACCCCCAGCACCCCCTCATCCTTGGCCTGCTGTCCTTATCTTCATCTGGCCCCAATCCTCCTGCAAATCGGGTCCTTGCAGGATTCCTGCTGACTCAGCAGCTGAGCCTGGACAGGACACAGTCCCAGCGTGAGCGGATCCCCCTGCAGTGTGGGCGAGAATGACAAGCCCTCCACCAGACGGTTCTTTATTGCTCTGAGACTTCCCTGGGATAATTCCCACCCCCCAAGAGCCCTCTATCTGCTTGTGTCTCCTCCCCACACACCCCCTAGCCTTGAAAAGGGATGCTCATCTCCAACCACAGGCACTGAACAGAGCAAACCAAGAGAAGCATCAATACCATCACACAGTGGTGCACATAACACACTTTGAGTTTCAGACGTTTCCTAATGGCTTCTTCCTGCTAAAATACACTAGCTTAACAAAAATAACAACAACAATCTGGTGTTTGCCATTTACAGGCACTTTCTCTGTGAGGAGTATGACATGTTAAAAGAGAAAGAGATGAATTATAAAACACAGCAAGATCATGAGTCAATGATTCGCTGTGTCAAGCCTGCTTCTTTACTTGTAAGTGGGAGAATCATAATGCCCAACTTGGGTCTTGACGTTTTAATGAAATAGTGCATGGGAAAGCAGAAAATGGCAGAAAGGTTACTGGTTATAAGAGCGAAATCACTGTGACTCTAGATCCAAATTCAATCGTTACCCAATCAGTGGTTTCTGACTAGTCAATTTTTAGTTTTTTTTTCTTTCTTTCTTTTTGTCTTTCTTTTGCCCTATCTCTCTTTCTCTCTCTTTCTTCTTTCTTCTTTCTCTTTCCTTCTCTCTTTCTCTTTCTTTTTTGAGACAGAGTCTCAACTGGGTACATAGTTCACACCTGTAATCCCAGCCCTTTGGGAGGCCAAGGTGGGCAGATCACTTGAGGTCAGGAGTTCGAGACAGTCTGGCCAATATGGCAAGACCACGTCTCTACTAAAAACACAAAAACTAGCCAGGCATGGTAGCACACACCTGTAATCCCAGCTACTCAGGAGGCTGAAGTGGGAGAATTGCTTGAACCTGGGAGGCAGATGTTGCAGTGATCCAAGATTGTGCCTTTGCACTTCAGCCTAGGTGACAGTGCGAGACTCCATCTCAATTAAAAAAAAGAGAGAGAGAGAGAGAGACTCACTCTGTCTTCCAGGCTGGAGTGCAGTGGTGCAATCTCGGCTCACTGCAGCCTCCACCGGCCAGGCTCATACAATTGGGCCTCAACCTCCCAAGTACCTGGAACTACAGGTGCACATTACCATGCTTGGTTAATTTATTATTTTTTGTAGAGACATGGTTTCAACATGTAGGTCAAGCTGGTCTTGAACTCCTGAGCTTGAGCAATCCTCCTGCCTTGGCCTCCCAAAGTGCTGGGATTACAGGGATGAGCCATTGTGCCTGTTGACTGGCCGATTTTTTAAAAATTACATTTTCTAGAGAGGTCATTTTTACTGGGAAAAACACAGTGATGCCATTCAAAAAAACTGAACAGTAACTTTAATCACCACATTAACACAATTTTAAAGGTTGATCTGCAACATATATACCTTTTTAAAGAGTGTTTTCATCATATGTAGGCAGCTTTTTTTTTTTTTTGAGATGGAGTCTCACTCTGTCACCCAGGCTGGAGTGCAGTAGTGTGATCTCGGCTCATTGCAACCTCCACCTCCCAGGTTCAAGCAATTCTCCTACCTCAGCCTCCTGAATAGCTGGGACTGCAAATGCATTCCACCACACCCGGCTAATTTTTGTATTTTTAGTAGAAACAGGGTTTCACCATTTTGACCAGGCTGGTCTCAAACTCCTGACCTCAGGTGATCCACCCATCTTGGCCTCCCAAAGTGCTGGGATTACAGGCCACCATGCCTGGCCGGTAGGCAGGTTTTTAGAGAACATGTGTGCAGCCTGGCCAACATGGCAAAACCTGTCTTTACTAAAAATACAAAAATTAGCTGGGCTTGGTGGCGCCCACCTATAATACCAGTTGCTTAGGAGGCTGAGTCGGGAGGATCCCTTGCGCCCTGGAGGTGGAGGCTGCAGTCCCACCCGGGCGACAAAGCAAGACTCTGTCTCAAATAAAAAACAAAACAACACAACAACAACAACTAAAACCGTGTGTGATTCCTTCAGGCACCAAGTCTGAGTTGCTAAGAAACAGAGTTGTCACTGGGCCCTGCTCTGCCAGGAGCCGCAGAGCTGGGGTCCTCTCGGTGGCGAGCACAGCAGGATGACTGCTCTGTGGCGCCCTGGGGTGAGGGAGGAGCCGTGACACCAGCCCCTAGGAAACGGAAGCAGAAAAAGGAGAAACAGCAACGGCTGCTCTGCTTCCTTCCCATCTCGCTCTTGGGACGTGCCAGCCAGCAGAAAGCAGCTCCATGAGAGCCACGGAGGATCTCACAGCCGCAGTCTAATAGTAACGCAGAGGTAATTTTAACTTTTTATTCTTCTACCCTTGAAAGTAGGGATGAGCTGTGATCATACCACTGCAATCCAGCCTGGGCTTACTTCCTTCCAGGGGCAGCTGATATCCCCACACCCCCAACCCCGGAAGTTGAGATGTCCCTTCTCTGTTCCACTCAAGCATCGCCTAAGTTGGGAACAGGTTCTATGTCTTAAAACTTGGGATTCTTTAAAAACATATGTGGCCAGGTGTGGTGGCTCACACCTGTAATCCCAGCACTTTGGGAGGCCAATGCAGGTGGATCATAAGGTCAGGAGTTCAAGACCAGCCTGGCCAACACGGTGAAACGCTGTCTTTACTAGAAATACAAAAATTAGCTGGGTGGTAGTGGTGCATGCCTGTAATCCCAGACACTCAGGAGACTGAGGCATAAGAATCGCTTGAGCCTGGGAGGTGGAGGTTGCAGGAAGCCGGAGGTTGTGGTGAGCCAAGATCGTGCCGCTGCACTCCAGGCTGGGCAGCAGAGTGAGACCCTGCCTCAAAACAACAGCAACAATGTGTGATGACACATGCCTATATTCTCAGCTACTGGAGACACTGAGGTGGGAGGATGGCTTGAGCCTGGGAAGTCAAGGCTGCAGTGAGCTGTGATCATGCCACTGCAATCCCGCCTGGGCAACAGAGTGAGAGCCTGTCTCAAGAAACACAAAAAAACAAAAACAGGTCAGACTCCTGTAATCCCAGCACTTTGAGAAGCCAAGGCAGGTGGATCACCTGAGGTCAGGAGTTCAAGACTAGCCTGACCAACATGGAGAAACCCTGTCTCTACTAAAAATACAAAATTAACCAGGCTTGATGGCACATGCCTGTAATCCCAGCTACTCAGGAGGCTGAGGCAGGAGAATTACTCAAACCTGGGAGGTGGAGGTTGCAGTGAGCCGAGATTGCACCATTGCACTCCAGCCTGGGCAACAAAAGTGAAACTCCATCTCAAAAAAACCAACAAACAAAAAAGCATATGTGGAGTGTTGTAGAAGTCATTTCCCTTGTTAAGACAGTGGAGGAAACTACTTTGCTTTGACTCAAATTTACTGCCAGTCGACAGTATTTATAAATAGCCCCAGTCAGGCACTGCATAAAGACATTTCAGTCAACGACAGAGCACATAATACACTGGTGGTCCCATAAGATTATAATGGAGCTGAAAATTTCCTTTTGTTTTTTTTGTTTGTTTGTTTGAGGTAGTCTCATCCTGTCACCTAGGCTGGAGGCTGGAGTGCAGGGGCATGATCTCGGCTCACTGCAACCTCCGCCTCCTGGGTTCAAACAATTCTTCTGCCTCAGCTTCCTGAGTAGTTGGGATTACAGGTGCCCAATGCCAGACTCAGCTAATTTTTGTGTTTTTAGTAGAGACAGAGTTTCATCATGTTGGCCAGGCTGGTCTCGAACTCCTGACCTCATGATGCACCTGCCTTGGCATCCCGAAGTGCTGGGATTACAGACAAGAGCCACCGTGCCCAGCCAAAAAGTTCCTATTTTTCAGCTTGGCATCGTGGTGCAACCATTACATTTTCTATGTTTAGATACACAAAGACTTAGCACTGTGTTACAATAACCTACAGTGCTCAGTACAGGAATGCTGTACCAGCATGCAGCCCAGGGGCATTGGGCCATACCATGCAGCCTAGGTGTGGAGTAGACTAGACCATCCACGTCTGTGTAATTACAATCTATGGTTTGCACAACAATGAAATTGCCTAACGAAGCATTTCTCAGAATGTGTCCCCATCATTAAGTGACACCTGACTGTATTTCCAGGACATAGTACTGGTCCTTGGGAAGCTCCAAAGGGAGAGAGTTCACCATAAGCTGAACCATCCTCCTCACTCTGTGCATGGAACCCTACTTAGCTTCCATTTCAGCGTTTAGGCTTATAGGAGAACAGGTTAGAAGCCACAGACAAGCAAGAACAGAAGTCACTGTCCTGTAATTTCTACTGGACCAGGTCTGTCTGACTGGAACCTCATTTTGCCTCTTTGCTTTAACTCCTCAGGAATGTGAATCCACCTTCCGTGTCTTCCAGGAGGCCCTCGATCTTCTCTGCCTAGGGACTACTCTTCTCTGACCCAGAGATGGGTCAGCTGATGGTGGCTCACACACCATCACTTCCTTCAAAGCCCAGGCATCTGTTTAAAATCTGACCCTGTGAAGACTTTTCCTGTTTTGGATAAGTTCTTCTGTTTGCCTGCAAAGATTTGTGCTCCTTTTTTAATTTCAATTTCTGTAGAGGAGGCAGGTTCTTGCTTTGTTGCCTCGGCTGGTCTCAAACTCCTGGGCTCAAGTGATCCTCCTACCTTGGCATCCTAGAATGCTAGGATTACAGGCATGAGCCACCATACCAGGATGGATTTGTCTTCCTTCAGGAGACAGTAGCTGATGTGTGCCCCTGGCCCTTCTCCCCTAGACTTCAGCAGTGGCCACCATGGGTTCTGTGAATTCCAGAGGTCACAAGGCGGAAGCCCAGGTGGTGATGATGGGCCTGGACTTGGCAGGCAAGACCACGCTCCTTTACAAGCTGAAGGGCCACCAGCTAGTGGAGACCCTGCCCACTGTTGGATTCAACGTGGAGCCTCTGGAAGCTCCTGGGCACATATCACTGACTCTCTGGGACGTTGGGGGGCAGGCCCCACTCAGGACCAGCTGGAAGGACTATCTGGAAGGTGTAGATATCCTTGTGTATGTGCTGGACAGCACAGATGAAGCCCGCTTACCCGAGTCAGCAGCTGAGCTGGCAGAAGTTGTGAATGACCCCAACATGGCTGGTGTTCCCTTCTTGGTGCTGGCCAACAAGCAGGAGGCACATGATGCACTTCCATTGCTTGAGATCAGAAACAGGCTGAGTCTAGAGAGATTCCAGGACCACTGCTGGGAGCTACGGGGCTGCAGTGCCCTCACTGGGGTGGGGCTGCCCGAGGCCCTGAAGAGCCTGCACAGCCTCCTGAAATCTCGCAGCTGCCTGTGTCTCCAAGGAAGAGCCGGTGGGGCTAAGTGCCAACACAACAAGAGATCTTGACCTGGACAGAGCTGCATATCTTTGCTCATACAAACTGAAAACACCAGCTGATTCCTTGAGAAACTTATGCTCAGTCTATCAAACAAGGAATGCTGGCTTCGCCTGTAATCCCAGCACTTTGGGAGGCCACGGGGGGAGAACCCCTTGAGCACAGAAATTGGAGAGCAACATTACAAGACCCCATTTCTACTACTAATTAAAACATTAGCCAGGCATGGTGGCATGTGCCTCTAGTCCCAGGTACTTGGGAGGCTGAGGGAGGAGAATCGCTTGAGCCTGGGATGTGGAAGTTGTGGTGACCCAGATCGCACCACTACACTCCAGTCTGGGCGACAGAGTGAGACACTGTCTCAATAATAATAATAATATTCTAAGAAAAAAATCTCAGCACACTTCATTTAATAGCTCATTACCAAGTGTGAATGAAGCAACATGTCATAATAGAATGGCCTCTGGTTGCAGAGATCTAAATTCACAAATAGGGAAAGAGGTTTTAAAATCAAATTTGAGGCCAGATGCGGTGGCTCTTGCCTGTAATCCCAGCACTTTGGGAGGCCAAGGCAGGTAGATCACTTGAGGCCAGGAGTTCACCAGCCTGGCCAACATGGTGAAACCCCATCTCTACTGAAAATGCAAAAATTAGACAGGCGGTGGTACAGGCCTGCAGTCCCAGCTACTCAGGAGGCTGAGGCAGGAGAATTGCTTGAACCCAGGAAGTGGAGGTTGCAGTGAACTGAGATCACGCCACTGTACTCCAGCCTGGTGACAGAGTGAGACTCTGTCTCAAAAAAAAAAAAAAGAAAGAAAGAAAGAAAAGAAAAAGTCAAATTCAAATATCATCTGGACATGTCACAGTGGATCATGGATCCTTATGAGTGATTTTTCCCAGAGGCCCCTGGTGATGTGACATTGTCACTCCGAAGGCAAATTCGTCAGGGCCCACACAACAGCAGAGGTCTGTAGGTTAAGACGTTCCCTGGGACGCTCAGCCCTGGGCAAGAGGCTGGAAGTTCATGCCATCCAAAATTTATCCTTTTTTTCTGATGCTGGTTAGCCTCTCCCCATTTTATGGTATTGTGTTGATCCTTTTCATAAACTCATTTTCTTTTTTTTTTTTTTTCTTTTTTTAAAAGATGGGGTTTCACCATGATGGCCAGGCTGGTCTTGAACTCCTGACCTCAGGTGATCCACCCACCTCGGCCTCCCAAAGTGCTAGGATTACAGGCGTGAGCCACCGCACCCAGCCCCTTAAACTCATTTTCTTATTTTTTCCTTCTCTTTTCTCCTTCTTGTAGCATATATCTTTCCTTAAAGATCAGATCAATCATATATTTTATTTATTCATTCATTTGACCAAAAAATACGTAGAGTATTTAGTTTGTGGCAAAAGCACTGAGCTTTCTAATATGAATCACGTGCTTTAGATGGGAGTTATGAATTCTGAATATACAGATGACAGCGATTGACACCTTCTGTCTCATGATTGAGAGGGAAATGGGAAGTTGACCATAGTAGCCTAGAAGGGCCATCGGGTGATCACTACCTAGCATTCAAAATTATTTGCAAAATGTTATGCTTTGGGCCATTTTTCCAGGGAAGAAGATTCAGAACTTTTTACCAGATTTTCAAAGATATCTGTGACTCCCAAAAGTTAAGAATCAGTGATGTGACTGTTGTATCCCTCATCCAACCCCAGATTACTTTCTGTAATTGCAGTCTTTTAATGGCAAGCAGCTTATATTTAACACCTGTTCTCATGTTAAAGAGCTGTAAATATTAGATATCCCTTCTTATTCTGGATTGGCTCTCTCTCTGGAGTACTGCAGTGTAAATTGGCCATCACTACTCTTCTAAAATCTGAGATCTGCCAGGCCCCTCTTCTAACACCAGGTTAAGCATGCTTGGCTATTTCCAGTACTTGTCAATCGACATATTCTAAGATTCTGTGTGAGACACTAGGAATGCAAAGTTGAATGAGATAAGGCCTCAGGCCCCATGGAAGGTGAGACAGTAAAGACATAACTCCCATAAAAATGTGAGGAGAGAGACTCAGTTCAGCAACTGTTTACTGAGCACTTACTTGGACCAAGCTCTGTGGTCTTGGTATTTTACATAGACTAATTCTCACAACTCTAAAAAATACATATATTCCCATTTTATAACATTACAAACTGAGGCTCAGAGAGGTTGTGACCTCTTGTTACTTGAGGCAGAGAGTTACAAAGTAACACATCTGGAATTTGAAATCAGATCTGTTTAGCCCTAACGCTGCATTTTTCTTCAACATCATGCTTTTAGAAGGTTTAAGCTAGGTAGGTAGGCTTTCGGTCAGCAGACATGATGGGGAGAGCCTTCTAATATGAGGGAAGAGACTGTTTGGAAGCATGGGTCGGGGGGTATAAGGAGGATAAGTAAGAGGGTGTACCTCCAATAGGGTCTTGGGATGAGAGGTGGGTGAGGCTGACATGATAGAAAACTAAACTGGAATGGAAGTTTAGGTCCAAGATGGGCAAGGTTGTTCGAATTTCAATAATCAGGGGTTTGGGTCAAGGAAGAAAAATCATGAGACTTGCCATTTGGAAGGACACCTCTGTGGCGGTATGGGAGTGAAATAAAGAGAAAACGGGACCCTGCACCTGGAAAGTCAGGGAAACCAGCTAGATGACCAGCATACAGCAGAGGAGGGAGAGGAAGAGAGATGAGAAAACTGAGAGCTATTATGAAGAAAAACAGTTGAGAGAGGAAGAATTTGGAGAGGGCTCAAGATTCTGCGTCTGCATGACGGAATGACTGGAGTGCCATGAACTTGAGAAGGTGAGCACTGAAGAACCAGGACGAGACAGGGGCTAGAACAGCTGGGTTCAGCTTTTGAAGGGTGGGTACGGATCTGGTTATAGCTGCTTTCAGATCGTTCCATTATCTGCAATCCAGACTACCTTGCTGGATGTATTTGTTGGCTCCCACTCATGGAGGCTCATTTCCTCACATGATATGTCACTTTTGATTGTGAGCTCATTTTCGGTAGGAGTTGTTTTTCCTGTGTGACTCCCATGTGCCCTGGACTGTAACAACATTTCTACAGAGTGGTATCTACTAGGATCCTGGGGATTTCCATTATTTTAGACCAAATATTATGTCAGTTTCTCTGCCTGGGGCTCCTGGACCTCAGAGGTAGTACATATCTGAACTGTGCACCCATTCAATGAGCAGGCCCTAGGGATTCCATAGCTGAAAGGTGACATTTTTTCCCTTGCATCCATGTTCTAAGACTGACAACTTGCCAATTTGCCTCCTCAGACTTCCCTGAGCTGGTGGGCAGCATTTTTTTAACCCTCTTTTAAGGAAAAGTCAGCTCTCTGATGCTTTTTTGCTGAGCTCAGATTAACATTTTCTATCTCCAAGCAAGCCTAAGGCCACATGTCCTGTTCTCCCACTGGTGTTTTAATTTCAGCCCACTCTCGAGAGCCTAAATTCGGCTCCTCTACAATTTCCATGGATTCCAGGCTTCCAGCTTTCACTTACTGCTTTGGCTGTGGCTCCTCTCTTCCATTTCTACCACTTGAGGATTTCCTTTTATTTTGTCCAAAGACGGCATGCATTAAAAAAAATTTTTTTTGTTAAGTTTACCCAACATTTCTATGATTTTTTTTTTCATGGGAAGCCCATTTGCCATAATGCTAGATGTCCTGAACTTGTTTTGATATGTGGCCCTGAGCCTTCCCAAGGTGCTGTCAGGACGGTGACATGATTAGATCTGTTCTTGGAAAGATATCATGGGCAGCAGCATTTGGGTGGAGGTAGCATCCTGAAGGCAAGGAGACAGGTTAGAGGACCAGAGGTGTCTTTTGACCCAGGTAGACACTATTGACACACTGATCTGCACAAACAGTTCACCACAAAAAGCTGCCCTTTCATGCCATCGGCTTGATTGTTCCTGTTGTCTTGGCAGTCCCTCTGGTTCAGCCAGGCCAGTAGCCTCCTCTCTGACACCAAGAGGGACCATGCTCTTCCCCAGCTCCGAGTGTGTGCTCCTTGCCAGAACAGACACAGTGGACGAGAGGACCCTCAGGTGGCTCTGAGTATTTGCCTTAAGCCCATCATCCTTGAAGGCAGACGTGCTTGATCTTAACAGAGCCAGGAAGTCTCCCCTCAGATACAATTTTGGAAAAAGGACAATGAAAGCAAAAAGTCCTAACTGTTTCCAGTGGAGGGTGTCTAGGTTCTTCACATTTTGAACACAGAATTGGACAAATGTGCAAACAAAGCAACAAAAGAAAAGCACAGATTTATTGAAACGAAAGTACACTCCACAGAGCAGGAGTGGGTCAAGCAAGAAGCTCAAGAGCAAGGGTTACAGAATTGTCTGGGGTTTAAATACCCTCTAGAGGTTTCCCATTGGTTATTTGGTTTATGCCCTATGTAAATGAAGTAGTGGCCCCTGATCAGACTGATTTGATTGCAGAAAGTTACTAATCAGAGGCTGAAGTGAAGATACAAAGTTACCCCTATGCAAATATCTGATTGATTGCAGAAAGTGACCAATCAGAGGCTGAAGTGAAGTTACAAAGTTATACTCCTCTGCAAATAAAGACTTGGCCTGCAGCCAGCCTGACTGGTTGCAGGAGGGGGCCAATCAGAGGTGCCTTCAGTTTTCATCTGCAATGCAGGAGTTGGGGGTTGCAAAGGGAGTAGCCTCTGATCCTTTTGTTACTTGGGTGTGGAGAGGTGGGCTTTTCCTTTTGATTCCGTTCTAGGAAGTCAGTGCGAATCAGCCTCACCTTCCCTGCCTCCAGACCCTACTCTCCTGCTCAATAACTATGCCCAGTTAGTGTTAATTGTAACTCTCTGCTGGTCTGCCTCCTGCTAAGAAGGACTGAACATCAAATTACTCACATCGAATCACTCAGCAGGTGAGTTTCAGGATGATAACCACACAATTCTCTCTGCACGAAGGGTGGGTTTGAGAGCCTCGGAGTCTGGGGCAGCTCTGCCAGCCATCCGCTTACTGACTTAACTGTTTGCCTGGGGTGAACATGGGAATCCCACAGGCTACAAGGCCCTGCATATCCTTCAGGGATTTCCAAGGCCCTCTTTCTTTGCATGTGCTCTGGCCCATCAAGCTCCCGTGTCAGGTGCAGTGCTTGTAGTTGCAGTAGTGACCTTAGCAGTGGCAGCAATGCTACAGGGTGACAGAACTTTAGGGAAGCCTCCTAACACCCCTGCTCTGCCTTAGGCTGCAGCTGCTTTCCTGTGCATGATTTAAGGATCCTTAGATCTCACCTGTCCAGGAAGCTCTCCCCACACACCCCAGCCTACATCCAGCCTCCCACTGAGGTCCCATGGCGTGACGGACCATCCAGACCCAGCGTCCTTGTGCCCTAACTGGGGCTGTTCCACATTGATATGTGGTCTCCCCAGGCAAGGGGTACATTCCTAGAGAGGAGGGTCCAAGTCTTCCATCCTTCTGACCCTCTGCAAAGCCTGAAACAAAATTAGATACCGAGAGTTTCTCATTAAGTACCTGGGTGAATAATGAATAACTGATTAGAGCCAGGGAATTGGGTATCACAGCATGGAGTCCCTGGGTCCTCTGAACAGTCCAAAGTAAAATTCCAAAATGAGAACACCAACAGAGAGCCAAAATGGCAGCACAAACCTATGTTTCAGGCATCCCTTGTGGAAAAAACAAGAAGCAGCCAGATACACTCTTTCTAGAGCATGTCACACCCAAAACAACCTAGCTTTTAGTTTACGGAGGAAAAGGGGTGGAAAGTGGAGACCTGGA